AAATTAAAATGTGTTTGGGTTTTTTTTTACCTCTTCTGATCATGTTACAACACAGTTGCCACACTTCCATTAGTCAGAAGTGATGCACATTCTGAGACAGTGATGTTGAGGAGTGGGCCTCACTGTCTATCCCCTGTGGGTCAGTCAGAAGTTTGGGAGGCTCTAGGATTGGCTCACTGCTGTGTCATAAGTCACTTCCTGCATGGATCGGGGAGAGGTCTTTTAGCTGTGTTAGCAGAACTGTAATGTTTTGTCTGTTCGATGTGTCTGTTGTGATGAATAATGATTTCATTGCTTACAAATAAATTAGAGGCGGAGGAATATTTGTTAATGACCTACTTTTTGTCTGCTTTGTTCAGTGATGTGTAAAGTGGATCTAAGCAAAGTGGACGGATTCCTCCTCTACATTCAGAAGCTGAGCTCAACCTCTGGCTGTGAGATGAAAGTTAACTCTGTGACAGCAGACAGCATCACTGTCACATCAAAAAGTGAACTGTCTTTTAAGGGCTGTCTTCCTACGGATGTACGAGTCACCGCCTCAAAAATCATAGGTAAATCCGGGGGTGTGTGATAAAAGCTAGACACCCACTGGCTTTGTTCTTGGTGGCATGAAACGTAAAAGCGCTAAGAATATTCAAAAAATTTAATTGTTTATTGATATCAATATCATTTATTACTCCATCCGGTCCAACAAGAACCTCAATGTCCTTTTATTTAAGTTAAACCTTAATTTTACTTTTCCTTAAATCATCATGATTTTTTAAGTTTTTCTGGCTTTTTTTTGGCTAATAATATATTGAACAGTGGACAGTATGTGCCTAATAAAATGGCTAATAAGTGAACATGACCTAATTACTAGACTCTAATGAGTGGCTGTATGTCTGTACATTAAAGTCATAATTTGGTGGGTTTTTTAATGTGAGACTTCTTTAATTAATGACCTCTTCTTCACACCAGCATGTCGTCAACTCAAAGATTGTCCAAAGCCTCCTGTCCGCCTCTTGTTGCCTACGCTACCAAGCTGCCTCCCTGCTCCTCTGAGCAGCGTGACCTGGATGCTGCGTCCTCCAATTCACGGCACAGTGGAGCTGACCGCACCCACCGGACCCTTAATGCAGGTCTTACCTGAGCAACCCTGCAACGACAGCATCCTCATCGAAGTGGCAGAAGAAGATGGAGTGAGGATTGGACAATTCTGCCCCCAGGGAGTCATACAGAAGATCCAAATCCACACCAACATGTCTGTCACTGTGTCCCGCACAGGCAGCAACACACTGAGGACATCTTACAGGAACGTGCTGGATGCCTGTTTCAAGGAGGAGATATCAGGTGAAAAAATGCCAGGTTTGATTTTATTTGAATAAATTACTGCTTTTAACTTGTGTTAAATCATCTCATCTTTTCGCCCCACATTTAGAAAGATACATATTCACAGTTTCTCCAAAGAAAGACACACCTGTGCTGTTGGCCACTCCTGGTTGGCCGGTTGGAATGAAGCCTTACTCCACCGTCTCCTGGATTGTCTCCGTGCCCCCAAGGATGGAAGCGCACCTTATGTTTGACAAACTCAGCCAACCCAAATGCACCAACCGCCACACAAACATCAGGGTGCAGAGAGTTGGCAGCCGGGAGGAGGACTACAGCAGGAGGGAGGACGAAGAGGCGGAGCAAGAGATTGTTGTTCCTGCGAAGTTCTACCTCAACATGTCCAACTGTCTGCCCGAAAAAGGACACTTTAGCCTCATCACTAAGATCACACTGAAAGACTGCAAAAGTAAGGGCTGTTTACAAAGGAAAGGCATTTTTATTACAGTGACTGAGTCATTAGGTCAATGTTTGGCACCAAGTTAAAGTTATTTTTCTCATGAATAGATCTCCTGCTGACCGTTATCCTGAGTGTGGTGGCTGCCCTGCTGGTGGTTTCAATGATCGTTCTGGTTGTGGTCTGTGTGGTGATCAGGTGAGTGATTTATCTTTTGGGTAAATCACTAAGTACTAAATAATATAAGTAATTTTGTCTTTATAAAAATAAAATCAAGAATCAGTCATAAAAGTCCAGCAACAAAAGTGAAAAATAACAGGGTTATCACTGGTAGCACAAGATACATTGAATATTACAAATGTTACATATGGTAGGGTTGAGCAGAATATTATATATTATGTATTTGTGTTTTTTTCACTATAAAATCAAGAAAAAACTGAATATGCTTTGGAATTTTAGATAAAATAAACAGGAATCTATGAACTATGGTTAGCGTGTTAGCATAATTATTAGCTCCTATATTCTTTTACATAGAGTCATACATTATACTAATTATACTTGCATTGTTTAAAAAGTCTTGAAATCATGCAGTAACTAAATGCTCTAAATCTTTGAACTAAAAGTTAAAACTGAGCCTTATTTTTCACAGTGTGATAACATTAGCACTGTGGCTCCTTTACTGTACCTGCATTGATGACATTTAGACTTTGATCCATTTATTAACTATTGGTGCTCACAAAGACAGAATAACACAAAGTTTCTATGATTAACTTTTATGTCCTTATTATTTAAAAATGATACAACGCTCTGCTTTATCAATATAACAACTGTTTTTTTATACAGGAAAAAGAAGAAGGCGCTGAAGGAGCAGGTGTCCATCTACAATCCTAACGGCACCATCTTCCTGCCAGGACACACCAACTTCCCAAAATCACGTGCGGACAACGAGTCCCACGTGTACGAGTCCATAGAGGACACTCTTGTCTACACTCACCTGCTGAGGAAGGGGATGGAGATTGGCGTTTACGGAGAGACGGATACCTACAACTCCTTCACAGGACACACGGAGTCACAGAAGCCACTGGTCTCCAAAGGCTCAGACGACATGGAGGTGGGCGAGTACCGACCCTTTCTGCACTCTCAAAAGGGGCCTCCGCTGCCCAACAGGCCTCCCAGTAGGCCTCCCAGCCAACCACTGGTGGACAATGAGATTTATCAGACTGAGGGTCTGAGTGAGGAGGAAACTCAGTCCAATCTGGGACAAAGACTGGATCCAGAGGGAGGAAACAGTGAATTTGAAAGTACTTCACCAACCTGAACTTGTTAGTTGTTCATTCCCTGGTGTCTGTGTGATAATGTGCCTTAAAGATTGTGATATGCTCCACGTGGACCACGCTTTAAAACCAAGGCCAAAAAACCTGAGTAGCAGGAGCCTTGTTTTTATACTAGATGAAGACAAGTTTCTGAACGTGCAGTACTACCTGCCATCGACTACATATCACTGTGTGTTTTAGTGCTTTATTGCTATGAATGATTTTATGTATGTACTTTATACATATTTAAATATTTGTACAGTAGAAAACGTTGTTAACCTTTAGATTTTTAACCGTTCCACTGAATATAAAAGACTTCAGTGCTGTTGCAGTTCACTGATGGTCAGTGATGCAGCAGATTACAGCAGTTAATGTGCACAAAGTCTTTACTGTGTACTTTTACGGTATCATTACTTTTACTCCGAGAAGAGCATCCTCCAAACAGCAGCTATTATTCCACTGTAAATGTGCCATACTGGGTTGGTAGCTATAATAATAATCCAAACTGTGACTTCAGACTTCAGTTTTTATTCACACTGATGGACTAATCTGCTGTCTAATCAGGTTGTCGTATTTTCTGGTGAAAGACATTTTTGTAATGAAATAAAATGAAATTTGAAATACTGAAGTACTTCAGTTTAGTAAAGGAACTGTCAACAACAAGACAACTGTTTTGTCTGTTGTCATGTGAATATTGTTATGTTCATACATATAAACATATTTACATATGTGCACATATATTGAGTGATCCATATTTTACTGGGTGGAAATGTTAAGGAGTGAACAATAGATAGTTAATTGATTTGTCGATATTAAAACTTTAGCACAGTGTTGCTTCTCTGGGGCTTACTACTGTAATCATTAATATATTTAAAGGCGATTAATCGCATGATTTTCCATCGTCAACTCACGATAAATCACAAATTAATAGGACGTTTGTTCTAAATGTATATGCAGTAATTGTTTTGTTAAACTTTCATACATTGCTTTATGAATTATGTTTTAATTTTTTATGGCAACCATTAAAAGCAAACCAATACGTACCAATACCATACGTGGGGATCGCTGGTCTATTTCATACTGACCTACATCCTGTATGGGGTTCGTAGGCCTAGAACTAGGGTTGGGAAAAGTTCTCCACATTCCCAGACACCAGTAATCCAGATTAGATGAACTCCGGTGGTTTCTCAGTTCAAATCAAAAGTAGATGCAAATAACCTGACTCCTGTCTAAACAATTCACAATTCACGTCCATGTTGCTTCTGCCGCGCACACCTGACCGCTGCTCCGCTTGACTGACGTCTGTTCTAGTAAACTACATGGTGAACTGAAGGTCAAACAAGACACATACGATAATCGCGTTGATGCCCGATCCCTGTCGCTAAAGGCAAAACTTATCTGGTGTGGAAATCAGACAATGTTAATGTTTTCCTGCAATTTCTAAAGTAAACAGTAGAGGGAGACAAAACTCAAATCTGGGGAGCTAAGTTGAGTGGGTGCTAAGAAAAACACACTTTTTTTTATAAAACAATAAACATGTTTATTGGTCATTATATAACACAGAATCATTTGACGTACTGAAATAAAAACAAAAACAAAGAAACAGCATCATGATAACTTATATAATATATATATAATAATAAAATAGTGAATAGATAAAAGCTGAAGCTTTTCCAGTGGTGCTTACCCAGTTAAATATATATAATATGATTTAAAACAGGCCCAGGCTTCATATATGTGTGGTGTTATGTGCCGGTTAGTATAGCTTATACAGAGACATAGTGAAATTAACATTACCATAGTAGTGAACAGACTGTCTGGGAGCTAAAGAATGCTGTTGTTTCCCCTATCGTGTCAACTCTCAGATGATGTTGAACTCACAGACTGACGCCTTCTCCGCCTTGCAGTTCTCATCAAACCACTTGCCGTTGGCTGTGATGGACAGGACGGCACAGTTCTGGCTGCGACCGCCATCAGGCTGAAGGGTGATCTCCGTCTCCCAGTTCTTGAAGCGAACATTGGAACTCGACTGGTCCACCCACTGGCCATCCGTCACGATATCATTGATGCCCAACCAGATCTGAGCCTCGGGACCGATGCTCTGTCGCACGTAGCTGTAGAGTTGGTCGTTCTCGTCTCCTGTGACTGGAGTGCTCAGACTGCCTCCTTTGGCGATGCAGTCATCACTGGCAGCATGGAAGTTCTTCTTCACCGGATCAGACAGGAAACACTTGCCCAGGATCTTTGTTCCTCTCAGACAAACTAACAAAGAGTCAGAGATGCTGTCCAGGCAGATAAACTTGAACGTTTTCATTTAAATGACAATATTAGTCAGAACAAACACTTTTTTATAGAAGCTGTACATTTTCTGGCAACATTTAGAAGAATAAAACAGTATGGTGTCTCCTTGCAGTACCTGTCTGTAGAGCCTGCTGCTCTTTCAACAAGTTCAGCTCTTGAACAATGTCATTTATCTGTTTCTTCAGCTCCTCAATGGCTGCGTTGTTTGCGTCTGAGAAAAATCAAAAACATCGCGTTAAGTCATACTTCATGTTCTTGTCTCACGTTACACAGTCTCTGCGATCCTTACACGCTGCTGTGTACATCTGAATATTCAGTAAAGGTAATAAAGTTTTTGTTTCACTTTACATTTTATAACATTTACACATAAGAGCATTGTTTTTATTAGTTTGAAGTCAAATTCTACCTTTCTTGCCACTTCTCTTCTTAGTGGTGCTCTGCTGGAGTGTGTAATGCGCTAACAGAATAATGTAGAACATCAACCAAAGTCCTCTAACCGCCATCATATGTTTGAAACGTCCACCAGCGAAAATTCTAGAAGGTGTCAATAAAGTCCTCTAACCGCCATCATATGTTTAAAACGTCCACCAGCGAATATTCTAGAAGGTGTCAATGCAGCGGCAGCAGCAGCAGAGGTCCTTCCAGCTCCGTGGTCTGGACAGACTGCTGTGTTTCACAAGAGCTGGAGAAACTTCTCCCAGTAAAAACAAATGTTTTACAGATGTTTCATAGCCACTTGTGTTGCTTTTGAACTTTCGAGAGAAGATGGGCGGACAGAAAGGGAGCAGGACTGTGCAGAGGTACCGATATCAGGAACACCATGAATGTGGTTCCATATGTTCTCATGGTATCAGTAAATTACATCAGGGCCGTACCTGCCTGCGTGCTACATAACATTACTTACATAATCCAGATAAAACAGATGAAACTCTATCTTAATGAAGATATAATGACTGGTTTTTAATACCTTTTATTGAGTGAAGCCTAGATGATATCAGTTGTTTTTCTGTCTGAGAGCCTGTTGTTTTCCTTGTGTCCAGGGGGTGGGTGTTTTAGGGTTTCTCCCAAAGTCCACATCTGGATCCTCTCACGGAGCTGTGGGTGGTGCAGATGATGAAGGGTAACTGAAGAAGATTTATATTAAGTAGAAAGATTGTTGTGAATTTAATTTGGTTTTAGTTTTCATCCCAAAATGGAAACCCCAGTGTTTAGTTTCAGTGAACATGGCCAAAAATGTATGTGATTATAGTAGAATGTGCCTTTAAATCCTCGGTCCTAAAAAAAACTATTGTGCTACATCATTATTTTTAGATAATGTAATGAATACCACGAGGGAAAACCTGGAATAGTTTGAAAACTCTTGATTAGCATGACGCTTGTATATATAAATATATATAGCAAGATAGTTACAAATATATCCAAATATAACTAATGACTATACATACGTATATACATGTGTAAATATAAACATATGTGTATGTATATATTTTATGTTTACTATTAAGTTGTACTTGTCACTGATTTCTCCTTGAATTAAAAAAATACAAAGACAGAGGGTTCATCAATACATTTCAAATAAACTATTTACAAAATACAATAATCAATACAGTTATTTGTGTAAAAACAAGTCAGTGGCATTCACTGAAAATCATGTTAATATATAAAAAAAGTTTAGGCAACAGCAAAGGCAGCTTTTTAGTAACAATGCCCCGGACATGGTGGACGCAGAGACAGAGCAGCGCCCCCCACAGGACAGACAATGCGTGGGTCACAGTTAAAAGATCATCTAAATGCATAGTTAGTTTTATAGCTTCAGTACAGATAACGTCACTGAGGAGAGCAGCAGGTTCACAGACTGCGGCTGTTTGTTGAAGACCGTATGTATTAATACTAGTTTATGTGTTCGTCAACACAGTGATACGGAGGTTAGTGCAGTTAGCATTGGGATCAGTCTCATGTAATACTGCGACATCTGTGCTCCGTGACTTTGTGCATTTGCTCACTGCTTAGTGGATAAGAAGCACTTTAGATACGAACAAAGCCCTTTAGCATCACAGCTCTGCTGCGATCATGTCTCCAGCAGGTCACCTCATCTAATCTAAGTCATGTTAGAAATTCATCACAACATTTAAATACATCAATAACAATAAAAATAATAATAATATTACAAATCAAATTTACAGGGACAGACAAAAAGAAAAATCAGGTAAAGAATGACCGAAGATCAAATCTGAGTTGAAAACATGCAGGACAACATTAAGTGTGCTTCAAGTTTTAAGTAAAAAAAAAAGAAAAAAAAAGAATCCTCTTCCTCTTGTTGCCATGCTACTCTTTCTGGAGCCTGTGGAGAGCTGGTCTACGTCGGGCACAGCACTGTAAGAACAACAGGGATGAAAATTTAAATATTTATAAATAAAAAAATAATACAATCCCTCAGTGACTAAAACTAAACTTTGGTGACCTAAAGGATAAATGTCTGATCGTGTCTACAGCCTCACAGCTCAGTCAGTGACTGGTCTACTGTTCTACTAGCAGCGATACTCCATAATCCATGCTCCAGCTGGTCACTAAAAGTCACTGTGATGGGGCAGGGGCAGGAGGAGAAGGAGGAGTGAGGGATGACGGGGTCAGACTGCACTGCACTGCAGTGGCAGAGTGAGGGTGCTCTACGAATTCTACTGTGAGTGACACCACACAACAGTGCACATCACACCACGGAGATTCACAAACCTGAGTGTCGGTTGTTCACACTACAGCTACACAGTAGGTCAGTCGGAGAACGATGAAGAATAGATGAAAGATTTTAAAAAAGAGAAATACTTGTAAATATCAGATCAAGGAGAAGAAGCTGCAGCTCAGCTCTGGCTGAAAGACTAACCACTCATAAACAGCCATCATTCTGAACAGAACAGAATTCCAACCTGTATGTTTTCTTTTTTTTTTACTCCATTATATTGTGTATTAAATGTACTTTCAACACTTCTGTAGATTATTATTAACAATCACCATCATCATCATTTCCCTTAAGTTTTGATCAGAGTTTAAGGAACTCTAAGTACAGTGTCTCCATCTGACTACAGTATGTCGAGCCAAACAGTGTTTGCAAATGAGAACAGGAATCTGACCTTTGAGAATGTAATCTGTCAGAAGACCAGGAACTCTGTCACTGTCGTCTCTCATGGCCTGTAAAACTGAAGAGTGGTGTAAAGAGAGCAGGTCAGCATGGTCACAGCCAGTCCAATCAGAGCAGAGTGGACAGAGGACAAGAAACTCACTCTTGGTCAGGACCTGCAGGTCCTCAGTTGACAGAGGACGTCCCTTCTCATATGGAATGACTGTGGTCAAATACTGTTGAGGGTCAGAAGGACAAGTGTAGATGTTTTAAAACTGCTTTGTGACTTAATGCTGGACATTCTCAACATGATGTCATGAGGTGTAAGGTTTCACAATAGGAATCAGTGAACTCCTGTGTGAACCTTGGATAAAATGGGAGAAATGACTTCCTGTATGTAACCCACTGGGGGTTTTGGTGCTTGCTCAACACACCAAAGTCGGAAATCAAACTGGCAATCCCCTGATTAAAAGTCTGTTCCTTCAACCACTAGGCCAAGGGGCTGCCCCCTACTGAAAATAAATGTCAACTCTCTGTACTATCAATGCCAAAAGTTCAACATAAAAAGAGAAACATCAGTCACCTGTTTTTCACTGCACCCGCTGCTAAACCTTTGACGGAATCCATTTTGAATGATAGAAGAGAGTCCCTCCATGCTGAAGCGCTGAGGATGAGAGTGGAGGACGCAAGCAATCATAAAAAGACAGATCATCACCTGGAAGAAATACTTAAGAGAACACAGAGTGATGAACTCATTCTGCTGCCATTATTCATCTGGATTATTGAAGACTAAATGGAACATTAGTAATGTGGTGTGTTACTTTTCTTATTATCATCTCTTCCATAAACTGACCTGGACTTTGACTTGACTTACGAAAAAATAATGGCTCCTTTTGAGACACATTTCCAAAATAATCCAAAACTCAGGGGTACATTAAAAAGACAGTCAGTAAAGTCAGGTACTGACCGATGCAGCTTTTCTCTCGGTGTGACTCTGCGATGTCCCAGGTCGGCCTTTGTGCTTCCTACTCTTCTTCAGCAGTTCTTGTTGCTCTTTCTGCCGGTTCTGGACATCGATGAGAGCTGAGATGAAACTGTTCTTCACCTCTTTCTCAAAGTCCAGCTCGTCCCTCCGTGCCAGCTGCTGCACCAGCTCCTCTGAGAACCTCCTGATGTTGGTCTCTGTGGCCTCCAGACGTTCGTTCAGCTCTGCCACACCCAGACTCCTGACCCCTGCACCAGATACACAAAGACCTCATGATCAAACAGTGATCTGTTAGATGTGAGGAAACTCGTATAAGAGATCCTATGACCAGACACTCACTGTCATTGTAGCTGAGGCTGCTAGTGGACAGCTGCATGTCCAGTGGGACGGTGGACAGGTCTGTATGAGACAGAGTCATCTCTGTTCCTGAGCCAGGAGAGTCCTGCATCATCTTTTCCAACTCCTCGATAACCTGAGGGTGTCGACAGAAGAAGTGATCCTTTAATATCAGACTGTTTTTTTATGCCGACATTTTTTTAGGCATTTTATATTGATCTTAGGGATGTCTCATGTTAACTTTTTGCCAACATTCGATATGCCGATATTGTCCAAACACTTAATTTCCGATTAGGATATCAACCGTTACAGATATAGGCCTTGTAATATTTATTTATGTATCTGTACAAACCACTGCAGGAGTATGAAATTAATTAAATGAGCTACAATACTGCCATCTAGTGAGTTTTACTTTAATATACAGCTGTTTATCCCCATAATTTTACACATCTTTTGGCGAAACCCAGGCATTGTGTTATAGGGTTTTCATTATCGGAGGAAAAAAACATAATGATTCTTACAGATATTACATGATATGCTAATATCGGGCGATATTATCGGACATCCCTAACTGATCTCTTTAATCTAATAATCTTAGACAAACTCTGCCAAAATATTTTTATTGTTTTTTTAAGGCCATGCAATAGCAGCTTTACAGCAGTAGGCTGTAGGCTTTAGTTAGTTAGTCAGCTAGTTATTTAGTCAGTAGGTTAGTCAGTTCACTCACCTCTTCTGCAGTGTATAGAGGCTCGTCTCCAAGAGAGGAGACGATGATGGAGTGCATGTCCAGCTGCTCTCTCAGCTCTTCATCGTCTGACAGCTCCACTGTGACATCACTCAGCTTCTGGCACAGGGACAGAACAGGGGGAGGAAAATTAATTAAAGACAATGACTATTTCAGATTTGTGACATGATCAGATAAAAATTAGGACAAGAGGGAAGGAGGAAGGGCAGGAGGTCAGAGATCAGTGGGTCAGTGATGGGTAGAGACTTACAGCTTTCTCCTCTAGGTCTAATGTGGGGGGGTGGAGGTAGTGAAGACGGGACTGTTTCAAGACAACAGGCATGACCTGACCATAGCTAGTGGTCAGAGCTCTCCAGATTCTGTAGGAAGAAGAGGGTAAACACATGTAACAGCAACATCCACACATAAATCCATTATCTCCGGCTTATTCCTTTGCACGGCACCCAGAGAAAACCCACAGACACTGGGTTAACAACAAGATCCTCTGTCTTATTTCAGGCTGGTAAATAAAGGGCCTACTTTTACTAGTTTTTCCAGAGGAAAGACACAGACAGGCACTGATTGTAAAAAAGACACCACAAATACATGACAACTGTGATACTCAAAACAGATCACAACGCACCAGTCAGTGGAAACAGTCGTGATTTTGTCACTGGATGAATATTAAAATGTGGATACGTTTACTTTAAAATACTTAAGGTCTGACTCTTTCACCCATGTAAAATTGCATGCATAAAAAGCTAAATAAATTGTAGGTAACAATTTCAATTATATTATATATTTAAAATTTTACAACCACATTCTCCCCTTGATTATTCGGGTTGCAGAATTGACGTCTGCAACCCAAGAGAATATTTTATTTTTATATCTATTTCTCTTATTGGTCTCCTTATACTAAAGGCAAAGTTACAATATCATTGGATTGGATGGCAGCCATTTATCTGCAATACTGCCCCTATTGGGACTTCTATGCAGGAAAAATAATTTCGACGCAAAAAAAAAGGTATATCACTTGCCAAGACAGAGCAACAAAAACTTTCTAAATATTGACACAGTTTTGTCTATTTATAATATATCCAGTCGAGTACAGTTTACTAACGTAGTACAGACACATTTATATATAGCGATAAGCAAATGTCGCCAGTTTGAACTATCTGGAAGAATATAGTTATTTTAAATGTCATCTAATTGCAGACTCAAATGTATAATGATAAAGAACAACTTGAGATAATAACAGTCTTCTGTTGTAGGAGCCAGACGGTCCCAAAACAAACAAACAAACAATCAAACACTCACTCGTCTCCTTCCAGCAGCGTGCCCTCGGTGATAACACTAACGGGAGCGATGCTCTCCGTCCTGCCGTCCAAATTCCCGAAACACATGGATAACTTCTCCTCGAACCCGTTGACAACCTCCTCCATGGACCTCAAAGCACCACTTTCCCCCGAAGAGAAGCTACTACCGTTGAGAGGTTCCCCACCATCATTCCTCAGCAGCAGCACGAGCGGCAGCGGCGGCGGCGAAGAAGGTGGAGGCGGCGGTAGCTGCGTTGCCGCTTCCCTCGCGGCGACTGTGCCCCTCTGCGGTAGCAGATCCTGCACTTTTAAATCAGGCACAAACGGCAAAACATCGACAAAATGGGCGACGGGCGCAGCCATGTCCCTCGCCCGGGCTAAAAGCTCCGGGGGAAGGGTGACCGAGACCTGGGACAGACAGGCCGCGGGCTCGGCATCATCTCTGTGAATGGCCAGTCACCGACACTAATAGGCAGTAGCTACTACAGCACGTCCTCTAGTGGTGACCATGAAAACTTACTTTAATTTAAATTTGTACGAGTTTTTAAGCTTGTTAGTAGATAAAATCCAATTCAATAACTAGTTAGATTTATACTTATAAAATATATATATCTATATATATAAGATGGGATAATCAGACTGATTATTTTCAGATTTTATTCTATTCTTATCAATCCTGACGATCATTTTATATTTCAAAACATGGATATCCCACTCCCGATAATCAGAGATAATAACTCATATTCTTCAGTTATAAAAAAGATTATTAGTAATTGTATTACGTCCGTATTTTATAATCAATTTCTGAATATACATAGTATGTTAAAATACTTAAAAGACATAAGCAAAAAGGTAAACAACAAACATAAGAAGAAGAAGAGAATAAAAGGACAAAATCAGATCAAAGGCGAGTGCTAAGTTTATAAAGTGAGGAGAAAATGCAATTTAAAAAATGGAATCAAAAAGTCACAGATCTTTTCTAAAGACAATCTTCCTGACTTAGAAATGGAAAACACTGGGAGAGGCCACTGACAAAAGCAAATACCTGATCGAGAAAGCAAGACAACCCCCGTGTGGACAAAACGGGAATTGCATCCATGACATCCATTGACTGTGTCAACGGCGCGCAGCGTCTCCCTTGGCTACAGACTCCTAACAAACAGCAGTGGGACTCAACGCCCTGAGAGAAGGGAACATGAGGATATTTACTCCAGCTGTTTAGTTTAAGTGACTGGAAATGAGTTCACCTCTGTCCATGCTGAAGAAAACAAAACGAGTTCCACTGCAGGGCCTGCACAGTGATCAATGGTATGTTCATTAGACTGTGAGGCTAATGTGAAGCTACTCAACATATACTGTTCACTTAAAATGACGATGTACTCTTTAACAGTGTTGTAAAGGGGTTTGTCTCAGTAACATTAATATATATTGTACTCTATGGTTACTGCATTGTACCGTCTGCTCAGCTCAGAAGATTCTAATTCTGTTCTGAACCTACTGTACAGGGGCAGAGAGAAGGTGTCCTTCAGAGGGAATCTGCTAACAGGTAGGAAAGTCTCATACAAACCTGCTTTTTAAAAGGAAAAATTATTGGTTAAACATTATGCCAGAATATGATAAAATCTATCACTTAAGGGAAAAATGCTCCATTTATTTATTTACGTAATTTATTGCATGTAAATGCACATATGTATAAAATGTGCATAAATTCCATATATAGCTAGACACATATTTACCCACACCCACCCAATTTATATACATGTATATACATTACTATTAATGTTTCTTGAGGATAGCAAACTAAGCATATTTGAAAGAAGTGGGATGAAGTCCAGCTTACTGCATTATTATAAATGTAACCAACACAGAGCTGAGGCCTACACAGCTGGTGGTCTATTTTAAATTACTCTCCTGAGTTTAACCAGGGCTCCAGACTAGGTACCTCACAACGTAACTGTTCGGCAAACATTGCTTTAGTAAATAAATACCCCACCACTGAAAACAACCTGAGCCTTACTGTGAATACTAGACTAATATTAATAGGTGTCGAATAAATTATATTTTATTTTTTGTCAGAATTTCAGGCAGAAGTCGTCCAAAATGATGGTGGTGATGATTCTTCTGATCCAAGTTCTCTACAAACATCATGCAGTGATGTTTCCAAGGCCAAGTCAAAATCTCTACTAAAGAAAGGTTATTATTTGAATGTTTTCTTGTGAATGGAAGGTACTGAATATTTATACAAACTGAAGACTGTGCCTGCAGCAGGTCCTCCACCAAGTGACTTTGAGCTCATGTCAGTCATGATGCAGCGAGTGAATCTGCTGGAGAAAATACTGAAGAGCCAAGCACAGGAGCTGGAGACAAAAGTAACCCAGACACAGACACACAACCCATGGCAGAAATGTTTACGAATGGAAATTTAGTACTTCTTTTTCTCCTGCAGGATCAGAAAATCTCCATGCTTGAGAAAAAGCTGAGGCTTCGGGAAGAATCAGGTATTCGATCAACTTCATCCTT